AGCGCCGGTCCCCGCGTTGAAGAGCCCTTGGTGCTCCCTGCCCGGTGCTGTTAGGATGTGCCGGGCGCTGCTGCATCCCAGGCGCTCCTGCTGCTGTGGGGACAGGCAGAGGAGCAGGTCTTCAGACACAGGGATGCGAAGACAACGCTGCCAGCAGAAACAGCAGCAGCATCGCAGTGCTGCTCCTCAGCAAGATCGACTCCCACTGTCCTTGCCCAGCCTTCCCATGGGGTGTCCCACGTCCAAGAGCCTACCCTGTGCCGGGCGCTGCTGCATCCCAGGCGCTCCTGCTGCTGTGGGGACAGGCAGAGGAGCAGGTCTTCAGACACAGGGATGCGAAGACAACGCTGCCAGCAGAAACAGCAGCAGCATCGCAGTGCTGCTCCTCAGCAAGATCGACTCCCACTGTCCTTGCCCAGCCTTCCCATGGGGTGTCCCACGTCCAAGAGCCTACCCTGCTCTCTGGGAGGCTCACCAGGTCCTCTCTGACTCCCCCTCTGCCAGTCCCAGCGCTGCTTCCAACCATTTCTCAAGTCAGACCTGCGAGCAGAGAGAAGACGATCCCTGCTCGTGCGTTTGTGCCTGCTGTCCCCCGGCGCTTCGCCCCCGGAGCCTGGCCGCTTGGTGCTGCCCCCTGATCTGTGCTTGCTCTGTGTTTAGCCCTCCAGGGGACACATCTGCCCTTCCTTACCAGCTCATCCGTCTTTGATGAGGACACAAGGAGCAGGAGGAGCCCACCCTCGCCTCTGAGCATCAAGCACAAGCGCACGTCCTCGGAGCCGGTGCCTTGGGTACCGCTCAGCCCTGAGCAGCGCAGCCCGGCCGCAGGTAGTGACCGGACAGGCTCAGGGGGCTGAGGAGCCCGGCCGCGCCGGTGGGAAGGACCTGCTGGAGGGCTGCCGTCCAGCACCCGCGCTAGGTCGGGCTGTCGGTGGCTTTCTCTGGCTGAGTCCTGGGTCAGGCCCGTGAGGCCTTTCGCTGGGATGCGGGACTGAGCGAGCTGCAGGAGCTGCGGCACCGGACTGCGTGCCCGCAGCTGCCGCGTACAAGGTGGGCTCCCTGCACCCTGGCCGTTGGACACCGGTGCCTCCAGGGGGGTTATTCTAGGGTTTGCTGGTCTGCTGGAAATGCTGAATTCAGAGCAGGGAATGACCTCGTCCCCATCGTTGTTTCCGCGGGTGTCCCATGGCAGATGGATGCCCCCCCATCCAGGCAGGGTGGCAGGTGGGGGGCTGAGGCCGTGGCTTGAGCAACACAACCCTTCATCAAGGGGGTGGGCGCTGCCCAGAGCAGCCCTGGGGGCTCCGGGATGGACGCCTGGCCCATGGGGTCCTCCAGCAAACAGCCTGATCCCAGCAGCGCCCGGGAGCAGGGGGAACAGAGAGTGCCACGTGCACGATCCGTGGCAGCCGCGTCCCTCCCTGGGTGCTGGCGGCTCCCGGGCGGCCACGGCCCACCTCCCACCTCCTGGTAATGTGCTTCTCACCCCAGCCTCCGCTCGATGTCCTTCTGCTTCCTGGCCACGTCCCCTTCCCCTGCTGCCCCTCTCCACCAGTCCCCCTCTTCCCAGCTCCCAGACCGGTGGGGTGCTGGTTGCCCATGCTGTGTCGTGGAGGACCATGCTGCGCCATGTTCCCTGACAGTGGTGGCTGCTGTTGTCCACCTGTGATGGAAGGTGGGAGGAGATGACCAGCCTGATTGTGTTGCAGGTGCCCTGAAAGCCACAGACCCCCTCTGCGCTCCTGGCACCAGCAAAGTGGGACAGCCTGGCCCACACGGACCCCTCCAGGAGCCAGATCCATGCTCTGGCCATGCCTGGGATGTCCCACCTCTTCTTCCTCGGAGGAGCAGTTTGGTAGGTGTCCAGCGGCCGGGATCAGCTCAGCTCAAGCATCTGCCCATATTTATCACCTTTGGTTTTTGAGCTGAGCAGTAGTCAGCCTCAGCAACTTCTCCTCCCAGCACTTCTGCTGTGACTCCCTGGTGTTGACGTCTCTCTGCTGGGTGCTGGGAACGCTACCAAAACCCCCGTAAGGCTCCGCTGCCTCTGGAGGGAAGCCTTGCTCGTGATTTCGGGTTGTTGGCAGGTCAGGGTGCAGTTCTGGACACAGACAAGGGTGCAGTGTCCACACTGGCCCTGCCTCTCTGTGCTCCAGGGGACGCCTTCTCCCCAGGGACACTGTGCAGAGCCCTTTTGTCATGGGGACATCGCTTGGGCTGCTTGGTCTTGGGGTTGTGGGGAGCAGCGCTGCTGCCGCCTCGCACAGAACCGCGCTGGGAGAGCCGGGGCCCCAGCCAGGG